AATAAGAAAGAAAAAAAATCTACCGGTACAAAGAGAAATTAACAAAGCAAAAATAAAAAAAAACAACTAAAAATAATAAAACTATGAATCAATCAAATAAACAAGAAGAAAAAAACAATTTCAAAAAATAATTCTCATACAATCATTATCACATTCGGCTCCGAAGCCATTTAATATGTACGGAGCCACTCCGGGTGCGAATTGTCATTGGCGACCATAGGTACCCGGGTACCTATAGATGCAGCCTTTGCGGTTATGGGTATTAGTTAAGAAGAGGAGGCGTGTAATTAACCCAGTGCCTCAGGTGAGAGCAGACTGCATACGGCATGCAGTGGCGTCACTAGGGGATGCGGGGCCGCACCGGTTAACACTCCCAGAGAAGTGCCATCAAATGGAAAATGCAAATTTGACAGAGCTCCAACTCTAATAATTGACTAGGTTTCATAAGGCCTGATAAGGTCTAAGTTAAAAACCAGGGTGCCAATAGACTGACAAATGGTTCCCACCAGAACAGGGTGTCACCAGAATGGGATGCCTCCAGAACAGGTTGCCACCCCAGAGTGTCTGGTGCATTTTACATATTACGATTTATGACGTTGCTTAAAGTGTGACGTCCGGAACGGTCATGATTTTGCGATGTTCCCTCCCTGAAAAAAAAAACAACAACATAAAGAATATAACTGTACGCAGTTGAGTGGCGTCACATCCAGGTAGTGGACCGTCTGGGGGACACCATCACATTGACACCAAAGTGGGGAAATGCACATCTAACAGATTTCGCTCAAGCTGCCACCACAGCAGGTTGTCACCAGACCAGAGACCAGGTTGCCTACAAAACAGGTAGTCACCAGACCAGAGACCAGGTTGCCACCACAGCAGGTTGTTGTCACCAGACCAGAGACCAGGTTACCTACAAAACAGGGAGTCACCAGACCAGAGACCAGGTTGCTACCACAGCAGGTTGTTGTCACCAGACCAGAGACCAGGTTGCCTACAAAACAGGGAGTCACCAGACCAGAGACCAGGTTGCCACCACAGCAGGTTGTCACCAGACCAGAGACCAGGTTGCCACCACAGCAGGTTGTCACCAGACCAGAGACCAGGTTGCCTACAAAGTGGGGAGTCACCTGAGCAGGCAGACTCTGAGTAGTCCATTTGGAAGGGGGGTGACACCATGCATCTACCACACTGGTTGACACCAACCCTTGTGACACCACTAACCAGGGCCGGCTCAAGGTACCGGCAACTCGAGCAATTGCCAGGGGCGCCATGGGTTTAGGGTGCCATAAGCGATCTCTCAAAATATGAAAATTCATGGCATGTGGGTGCCATGGAAGAAAAATAAAAATTGCAATTTAAAAAGATTTGTTGAAAAATGACATCGGTTCGCTAATGGTTCATACTTCCCATGGTAGGCTAATGGTTCATATTGCCTATGGCTATGGTAGGCTTATTGTTCATACATACCACGGTAGGATAATTGTTTATACTGTCCAAATACACGTAAAGAAAAACAGTTTTATTTTCCATTGTTAAAAAACAACAACAAAAAAAACGAGGTAATAAACTCATTAACTAATGCGCAAATTTTTTATGATTATACTTAAGCTTGCCCGGGGCGCCAGCAACACTAACAGTATGTCAGTGATCTAGCTAGCGACCGTAGGCGCAGGGCCGGCCCTGCCACTAACAGTACGGCATTGATCTAGCTAGCGACCGTAGGCGTAGGGCCGGCCCTGCCACTAACAGTATGGCAGTGATCTAGCTAGCGACCCTGCTCACCGTTTTCGGGATAATTTTTTTTTCCCGTTTAATTTTCCTACCATCGATTTAGAACTCCATCTATTGACCGCCATTTTAACGTTTTATTATTTTCTTCTTCTATATCTTAAGGGCCCACGATCAATTTATTGATCATTTTGGCTCCTACTCCTATGCATGTAGATGGGATTTGCAATGTTTCTGTTACTGGTGTTGATGAGGAAATCATGCACTAGGGGTTTGAGGGCTGGAGGCAATAGACACAAAGATTTCTGAATGCCTACAAAGGTATGGTTAACATAATTATTATTTGTTCTTCTTATTGAATATTCATAAGTAGGCCAATTAATTAATTGGTAAAATTACACTTTATCATCACCTCGAGCCATCTGCTAAAGCTATCTTTAGAAATCTTTTACTCTAATCTACTATAGTCTAAATATGTAGGCCCTATATAAGATTTTTTTAAAAAAAGCTGTATGTACATATTGTATAATTATTTGTTCTCATTATTAGATATTCATAAGTAGGTTAATTAAGTAATTGGTAAAAATCCACTTTATCATCACCCCGAGCCATCTGCTAAAGCTATCTTTAGAAATCTTTTACTCAAATCTACTATAGTCTAACTATGTAAGTAAGATCTTTTTTAAAAAAATAAGCTGTATGCATATATTGTAATATTTCAAAGCGCCCACCTTTTGAGCCTGCTTGCAATTTTGGACTTTTAAAACCCTTCAGTGAAATTTTTTTAAAAGGGGTCTCACTTCCTTCATTGTATCCGACTATTATTTCTAATATCACAAAACTTTTATATCATATTTGAGAACCCCCGTGGCAGTTAATGATTTATGTGAACTTCGCTTTTGTTCGTGCTTGGTAAAATCTTCAGCTGGCTTATTGACCCACTTCCCGTCAAACCATCAAGCTGAAATTTGGCACAAAGATTTGTTGCCGATGACAACGCATTCTATTAAATTTACACAATTTAAGTATTATTTTGATACCGTACAAATAATTCCAGGGACCATCAACTTACTGATGCATTCATGTGTATCTTTACCATATTTATTTCTATGATGTTGGAGGGCGGGGAAAAAAATAAATTAAAAAAATTATGTCGCATGATCAACATGTGTTTGCAATTATAAAAAAAGAAAAAAAAAAGCCAGCAATCAACTCTCAGTCGAAGGATTAAACAGTAAAGTGCCATCAAATGCCAAAGATATATTTTACTCATAGCTTAAGACTTAAGAAATATTAAAATGTTGACTTTGTTATGTGACCCGCCAGATTTAAACATGCAGTGTTGCACACTGGTTGCAGAGCTCTGATCTATGGGACCATAATTTTGACACTGACACACATTTTGGGCTTCTTTGCCTCCCCCCCCCCCCCCCCCATGTGTCTCTACAATTGCTAGTCCCTATTGAATGATTTGGGTAAATCATACTGAATGGGGCTCCCTTGCCCTAAGCATTTTCTTAATATTAAACCACTCTCTGCCAGTGTGAACTAAAATAGCAATATTATTAACTGTCAAAATATTTCTTTTTGTTCAGGTTGTATATTTTGTTTGTCCTTGCAAAATTTTTCATAAAAAATACAACGTAACTACCGGATTAGTTCAATTAGGATACAGTTAGTAACTTATCTCTTTTTCAAATGTACATTACAAACAGCTCTTTGAAAACAGAACAGGAAGTAGACATATTGTTACATTAGTTATTACTTTTAGTTGTAGTCGCATCAACAAAATTCCAACATGATGACAAGTAGTTTAAATTCATGGGGAACTGCTAGACTTTACATGCGCTTCTCCAGTGAGGTGTGTAATTTAACAAAAAGTTATTAAAAATACAGATCCCGAAAATGTACTGAACAGGAAATAATTTATTTTTATGGAGACATTTCACCCTCGTTACAAAATTACAGTCTCACATTGAGATGATTGTTTATCTGCATTGAGATATGATTTTAAAATGAATGGCACAAGATATTTATTGCTGATTTGTATAAATTAGACATGTAATAGTTGCAAAATATATACCCTGCTAATGACTGAGGCATAGAACTCACCAAGTACACTGCATAATAGGCACAGCTAACTAACAACAAAACGAAACAAAATAGGTGATTTTAATAAGTCATTTACTCAACTTATCTAGAAACATGACACTACAGTTGTGTATAAGGGATTCACATACAATTTTACATTTATGAAATTTATGAAATCAGGTACTATAAATACTTATATGAATCACAGAATCCTTCACTCAGTTTCTGTGTGTTGAGAACTAACCATTATTTATATTAAACTCAACCAAATGAAAAGTTTGATCTCATTGAAGACAAAACTCACAAACTTGTTGCAAAAATTATTAATGAGAGACAAACAATTCGTGTAAATAAAACAATATGTTCAGCTTGAATTATGTTCAGACAAAATACAAATTCAAACATTTCAGCAAATGTCTTCAACCCAGTACAACCATTTTTATCCTAGGTAAAGGTAGGATGTGTGTGTGTGTGTATATATATATATATATGTATATATATATATATATATATACATCCTACCTATAAATAAAAATTAAAGAGAGGGATAAGAATGGGCAAGAGTCTCTAACAAAAACAAAGATCAGAAGAAATGAAAGCTTATCCTCCCCCTTAAATTTAAAGTTCCAATAAATCTCTCATGCCACTGCCTTGACTGCTGTACAATTTGACTAGTCACAAAATATTTGTTCAGACAACCAATCGTTGTTGCCATTTGCATTATAACATTTGTTCAGACAACCAATTGTTGTTGCCATTTGCATTATAACATAAGTAAGAGAGAAAGACATCCTCCACATAAGATGACCCAAAGGTGGATATCTTTCAAAGGCCTCACCTATTTTTTAAAAAAACTTCGTCAAAGGCTGAAATGAATAAATAAAAAAAAAAAAAAAAAAAAAACAAAAAAAAAAAAAAAAAAAAAAAAATAAAAAAAAAAAAAAAAAAAAAGAAAAATCTTATAAAAAATAATAAAAAAAAAAAAAACCAAAGGTGGATATCTTTCAAAGGCCTCACCTATTTTTTAAAAAAACTTCGTCAAAGGCTGAAATGAATAAATAAAAAAAAAAAAAAAAAGCAGTGCTTTAAGTTAAAAATAAATATCATTTTAAACAAATAAAAAATAACAAGGATAATCTTTTTAAACTCTCTTAATGTAAATAATTTGAAATGTGTAAGAGGCGTTGACTTGTAGGTTTAAAAAAAACAAAAAAACCCACAAATATTTATTTAAAAATGTCTTGAATGTCATGGAAATCATTTTACCAGAAATGGTGAGTTAACATAGATGTTAATATGAGAGGTGAAGAATAAAAATAAAACTCATGCAAACTTGTTTCAGTAAAAAATTCAACAATAGGGCAAAAAAGATTGAAATGTAAATATTTGAAGAGATAAAATAAGCACTTAAGAGACAGATGATGTTTGGGCTTAGTATTTATGTAGAAGGGATAAAAACAGAATGCATTATTAATAAATAGCATATTTTATATTCAATATGAGTGTCAAAAAGGTGCTTATTATTTGTAACATTTATTAAAAATGGAAACAGTTCACATAAACAATAATACTGTTCATCATATTTTACATGTCATTCCAGTATATACATTTCCTCACATGTCAAATGAATCGGTTATAGATATAGGGTTCTAGATGATGTCATGTGCAAGTTATGGTCCTACAAAGAAATAAAATTATCATAGCTAAGTCATCTGACCCAAATAGGCATATGGTAATCTAAAAATAAAATATTACAGCCATTTATTCCATCCTCTATAATTTCCTGTTTTCTTAGGTGGTGATAGAGAAATGAAACTAAAATTTGAGAGTTAAAAACATGACAATTTTTTCCCTTTTTTCTTTTACAAAAATCCTATTATGTAATGGTGAACCATTTGAAGCACTATTATTATTTTGTTTTAATCAATCTTGGATTTGGAAAGGAGGAGGCTTCGGAGGTTATTAATATCATATAGAAATTTCACAAAAATATTTAATTAATTTTCCTAGCAGGAAATGAACCCATAGCCCTTGGAAATTTTGATAATGAGTTACAGTCTCTTTAATTCTGACATTAAACTTGTCAGTTGACATAGCTTTACAATTACCCTTACACTTTTAACTCGAATTACTAGAGTTTGTACACATCTTTACAATTACCCTTACACTTTTAACTTGACTTACTAGAATTTTTACATGTCTTTACAATTACCCTTACAATTTTAAATCAAATTTCTAGAGTTTGTACATATCTTTATCATTACCATTACCATAATAACTCAAACTTCTAGAGATTGTACACGTCTCTACTGTTACCCTTAATTCAAATATATATAAATGTACATTATATAGATATACATTTATTTTGATTCAGGAATCACATGCAAATGCTTATAACATTACAGAATTAACTCTGGTTAACAGTTTAGTCTAAAGATGGATTTAAATAAATTCCATTTATCAATATTAGGGCAATCCTTGATTTACAATGACAGACACCTTGTGCATTGACAAATTTTACAATGCAACAGTGTATAGAAAGTACTTCCCTATTTTTCACCTTAATTGATAAACAAAAAACAAAATAAAAATATTTTCTGCTACCCTTACTATTCACAAATCAAACATTCAGTGTTATATTTGAGTATCAAAACTACATTTTTCATGACTTTTTTTAAATAACTAATGCAAAACTTGTTTCGATTAACAAATTAACGGCATTATATAAACATAAAAAAAAAGAAGAATAAAAAAGCAGTTTCAATACATCTCAATATTTCAGTTGCCTCAGTCACACATTGGTTCCTATTAGTTAATCTTGACAAGACATTCATTTGGTCAATAGTATATATGTCTTTGAAAGCATATTTAAGATAAAGCCCTGCTACATAAATCTGGGCCATGGCTACTACAAATCTCAGGATTTGACGATTTATTTGTGCTGAGCTTAGAGACAGAAAGATCTAACATGTTGAACAGTAGAAAATGCCATCAGTGTAAATTAAATCCCCCCATCCCCCCCCCAAAAAAAAAAACCATGTCATGTCTGCAACTGATTAAGTTTAGTTTCGGAGCTATCCATCATCATATATTAAATGCAAACGTCACCCACATGGTGAAGTTCAGTTCATATATTCTACATCTACAGATGACATTTTTATTTCTTTCAAATAAAATGAAATTACTCCATGAAATTTTTGATAAATAAAAACAATGCGAATAACAAAAACATGCCTTCCAAAATAAAAGAAACATTTCTTATCTCATAATATAAATGAAATAAGATTTCAAGTGTATATTTGAAATAAGATTTCAAGTGTATAAATGAAATAAGATTTCAAGTGACATTAAGTGACATAAAATATCCATTATAAAACTGACATGATACATATTTTCCTTTCACAAGGTATAAAAATAGATCAGGCACTGCATGACAAACACTTTTACGCAGTTTTGTAAAAAGAAATTAAAAAAAAATGGCTTGATAACTGCTATATGTACAGCATAATAACATACAACAATGCCATTAGAACCACTTCTTGGTAAGTCTTTATCATTTTGAGTTGTCTGTCTGCGTGGTTGATACAGATTTTAAAATGCACATGTCTTCATCTTCCAAAATCATAGTTATTAAGCACCAAAATGCAATGAACTTTAACCTCAAACTTTTGGTGCGCTGCGATCATGTGTGACAGCCTTCTTGAGTTTTGCACCTTTACGGATATCGCCAAGCAGAGCCATCCTGCCCGTGGATGATGCTGGAACGGATGGCGGAGGGGGTGGTGGAGCACCTCCCGATGGTGGTGGTGGTGGTGGAGGAGGGGGTGGCGCACCTGGTGGAGGTGGTGGAGGAGCCAGTGGGGCTGCAGTCCCCGCAGACGGAGACTGTGGTGTTGGGGAACCTGTTAATGTGGCTCTCCTCTTTTTCCTGTAGAGATAGATATTTAAATCTGTTATCTTTCTTGACTTACACAGAAGGTAATTTTTATTAGCCTTGAAATAGTAGTTACAGCAGATAGACAAAGTAAAAATGAGTTTAATGATCCAGATTTCACATTGCTAATAAACTCTAGTTCCATATTTCTTCAATGAAATCTTTTTTGTGAGAGCTTTCACATCTTTATATTTCTTTATCTATTTACAAAATTTCTTTATCTATTCATCTTCTGCTTTGTTTTAGTTTCCATTGTCTGACAGTAAAAAACCTGAAATAAATCAGCTTTATTTTTTAAAATCAATTACACATTTTGTATAATTAATAATCAGCTCAACTTGATTTTACTTAAAGAATGTCAGTGTTTTGAATCCCATAATAAAGTAATATTCAATAAATAAAAAATGTAACTGCAAAGAAAAATGCACAAATCAAATATAAAAAAAGCTGTAAAATTAATGTAAACCATGGTAAGGGCGGGTTTGTTAATAAAACATAAAAGTTTTTTTGTTTTTTTGGTTTCTTTTTTGTCTTTATGACATTGAACAAATAAATAAAGACAAAGGTATCAGAGGAGAGGAAGTTTATATACTGGTATTTAGACTTTCAAATATTCATTTATGTCAAATGTTAGTAATTAAAAAAAAATTACATTTTAAGGTAGGCAAAAGAAATTTTCTTCAAAATTATATCATCAAATACCTTTTTTCTTTCTTGATATGCTTATTAAATAAAAAAAAAAAGAAGCAAATACCGGTAATGTTATGGTTTTAAAAAGAATACTATAAATCACAAAATAAATATTTTCCATTGACAGTAAAATGCTAAGCACCCATAAATTACTTGTAATTAGTATTTTGGTTGGCCAGGCGGTCTAAACTGAGTCAATCCAAAAAACTTGTGGTCTGGCGTTTCATCCCCACCAAAGCCCAGACAAACAAAAACATCACCATCCCATCTGGGTGGATGAGATTTGTTAACCTTGGATGGCAGCCTTGGAGAGGTACTCACCTTTAAAAAGGAAAACAGTGAAACAAACCCAGAGATGGCGTCCGGTGGGTGGATAACATTGACACTATGAAATTCTGGTAACTCTGGTCATGCTATTGGTGCCATGCAATATCATTCACATATGATATGGGTTATCTGGTACATGGAGAAAGGTGATTTCCTGTCTAGAGAATCAGCTTATTTTCCAGGCACTGTGATTTCATCCTGTTAAGTCTACACCATCATCACATTGTGATGGGTGGATGCTGGAGTCCTACTACGGGTATTGATAATTTGGGTTGAGCGACTTAAAGTTTCCAAGGCACTGGTTGATGCAGGGTGGTATATTTATATGTGAGATTCTCAAAATCCTTGGATGAAATGGACATAGCCTAATTTTGAATGTGTTCCATATTAACACTATGATCAAGAAAACCTTCTCCTTTTCAATATATTTCAAAAGAAAAAACTACACGTCACAACAGAAAAATATCCCTCGAGTTGGTAAGCATAATAAAACACCTCAGTATCGGTAATAATCATTGGCATATATTACTCTCTATCCCAGAGATTCTTACAGTTTAATGGTAGAAAGTTGCACCTCAAGTTTTAATAAAACCAAATAAGTACAGTAACTCTGCAAGCCTTCAATCTCATTCAAATCTGAGATATTAAAAAAATAAAATAAATCATGTTACATTAAATATATTCCAGTCTTACTTAGTTGAACTTGGTTTTGGTGGTTTCAGAGGTTTTCCCTTCCTGACAGCTTTCAGGATGTTTTTCATTGGCTCACTCAGGTGTATCTTAGAGATGAAATAATTTTTGTGTGTCTTTATCATGACATATTTGACCAGTTACAACTCATTACTTATCTACTAATTGTGTCAATATCTTCACACATTTGAAAAGTTACAAATAACTACTGATCCACTTACTAAATGTTATAAAATCTTCACTCATTTGAACATTTTAATCTAAATATGTTGTAACACAATTTTTTTTAGCAAAAATGTATATAAGTATAAGTCTAAAATCCATGTCCTTAAAAGTTACTCATGCTAGTTACAAAAAAAGTACACTCGATAGTTTGTAGAAATTACTTTTGCTGGGTTATATTGATCCATCTCTGATAGCTTGACATTGGCAAAAAAAGGTTGGCCATTTATCTGTGGAGTGAGCCAAATGTGGTTATTAACCCTGTAAGACAATTTATTGTAATGTATTTTTACTGGCATTTTTGGCTTCAAGTTTAAATCTAACACTAAAATCGTTAAAATGACTGCATCCTCGCATTATTTTGTTAAGAACAAACTGAGGCTGAACTCAAAGGCAATACTCGCTCTATTGTACACCTTTTTACAAAAACAAGTGCAAAAACTAAGACATGCTTGTCAGCAGGAACTAAGCAGAAATAAAAAAAAAAAAAAAACTTTTCACCTCTTGAATTGTTGGATATTTCTTGCTTTCATTTTCAAAGATAAAATTCAAAATCTGAAAGACAAAAAAATATATATTGTTTAGCCTGAATAAGCTTGATACAGAAATAAAATCACATTGTATTTTTGATTATTGTTTGTGATTTGTTGCATCTTAATACTATACCAGTTTCACTGCAGTACAGTTCAATGTATGCCTTACATGCATTATTGCAATAGAACTACATCTAAAAGACACACAATTTCAAGGATTTTCTTCTCCACACGTTTTCTGTGTATTGTCTTATTTTTGTTATTTATAACTTTTCTTCATTAGTCACAAATGAATAGAGCTAAGTTAATATTTTTAACATTTTTATTAACGGTTTAAACAATTACTGATATTGGCAAGGTGATAGTGCTTTCTCCTATTTTTTAGTTGTTGTTCCGTCATAACAAAGGCTTTTCTGGCCTACTATTTTAATGTATATTTTAATATTAGTTGACTTGCCTCAACAACTGCTGGAGACTGTGTTCCTATTAAGTGCTGAGGTTCAGGATGAGCTGTAGGCAGTTCGTAGCCAAAAGCCATCTCATAGAGTAGATGACCTTAGAAGAAGAAAATGCATCGTTGGTAAGTAAATATTAAATCTATAAGCACTGAAAAGTAGAATAGATATGATTAATTATCAGAATAGGACTAACAATCGCTAGACTAGAGACACACTAATCGATCAATTGGTCAAGATGTATATGACACCATTAGGACTAGAGTAATTTTGGGGGGCGGGGACGACGACACCAAGGATTTTCAATCCAGCACTAGCTTGGCTGCTGTTTTAAGACTTCCAAGGTTGAGATATTTTACTCATGTTTAACTTCCTCCCCAAGAGCCGGTCCTATGAACATTTTATCAGATGGCGTAAGACGGTGAGTTGAGATTTTATAATATCTATGATGATATTTTAACCTTGAAAATATATTTTTAAAAAAAGAAAGATTCTTACCAAAACACAAGATGTCTAATGCACATTTGTTTTCATCCTTCAACTTTCTCTTGACCAGTGTGTACACGCGAGATGTGTTGGCCAAAAATTTATTTTCATAGCCTGCGATTCTGAAAATAAAACATTCATCGAGTGAAACATGGAGCTTTTTCTCCAAAAAAAGCTATTGAACATTCTTCCATTATTAGGAGAAGAATTCACCACTAGCTGATAGATGTATGATACAAACATGCATTAAATTAGCCCTGACATATAAAAAAAAAAGGATGCACTTTATAAAATGGCAGCATCAGTTCGAACGCATGTTCAACAGCTTAGGTTCAAATCAGTAGTGGTTAAAATCAAGATTAAAAACTATTGGTCTAATCAAAGTGACCTTTGGTCAGTGTAGAGTTTTCAAAAGCAATTATTGAGGTGCCGTATATCATTAACTGTTTAGTGCTTTCTACATACAAAGCTTTTGTGGGAATCATTCACAAATAAACTTAGAACCAGATAGGTATCTTTCAAACACACAAAACGATAAAAGAAACAGACACCAATGTACCATAATTACATATCATTAACAACATTGCTGAAGCTTTTTTGATTTTATAACTAATCCAGACCTCATGAAAAGGTAAAGGGATGGCGGAAGGTAAAGAAAAACAATGATAAAAACAATGATAAAAACAATGATAAAAACAATGATAAATGATTGAAAATATATAATTTTTTTTTTTTTGTGTCTGGGTTTTTTTTATAAGGCTGTGGGAGCTTCTGTATGATGATTCAACATACATCAACCGTATGTACCTGCAAATGCCATTTTCCATCATGATATTGCCAGACTGTATATTTCCGTGGAGAGGGAAGCCTTTCTCCTCTAGATATAACATACCCTGATTTTAGAAAGGAAAAAGACAACAATTTTATTAATTTAAAAAAATATATATATTTCAGAACCAAAAAAAAAAAAAAATGAACTGATTTAAAAAATAAAATAAAAAGCAAAGCTATAAATCTAAATGTTAAAATTAAAATATGTGGCATACACTCAAAATACTCACACTTAAAAAGGAAAAAAAAAAAAATTTTATAAAATTAAAAAAATATATATAATTCAGAACCAAAAAAAAAAAAAAATGAACTGATTTAAAAAATAAAATAAAAAGCAAAGCTATCAATCTAAATGTTAAAATTAAAATATATGGCATACACTCAAGATACTCACACTTAGGATCTGTTTGCCAAACAATCTGACATTTTGTAGTGATAGACCTCTGTGTCTGTGGTTGTACTTGTTGTACCATATTTCTGAGTAGCGACACTGGACAAGACAGACCAACAGAGAATGACTTTACAACAATGATGTATGTTCCAATTATGTTGATTATCATTTCTCAGTAAAAAAACAACAAAAAACATCATCCCATTTAAATTTCAATGAACAAAATTAAAAAATCCAAGATATGGTAAAGCTATTAGAAATGCTTGTTTTACTTATATAACATATACCACACAGCAAAAACTCTTAAGATATTAATTGCCTTTATATATGTTGGTTATTGTATGGAACTTTTACCTCATAGATCATATCCTTAAGGGAGCCCCTAGTTGCAACAGGCTGCACAACAAAAACAAGATTTTGCTCAACAGCAAAGTCAAAATCATAGATTGGGAAAATATGTGGATGCTGAAATGTAAGGAAAAAAACAACAAAATTACCATGGAAACTTTAGCTTAGAGAAAATGCTTTGAAGAGTTATTTATTAAATACTGATTTAAAATGTGCACATTTATATGAGCTAAACACATTTAAAAATGCTTGAATAAATTAAAAAACACATAGAAAAATATGTGACAAGGTTGACATGGATGGTAATCTTACCTGTAACAAAGAGAACAGATCTTTTAGAGTTTTACAAGTAGGTTTAGTGAATGGCACAGCCATCTTAGGACAAAAAGGCACACAGCTCAACATGTATTCTTCACTAGTTCTAATGTCTGCCACTATAAACCAATGTTTGTCTATTCTGCTACCTGGGGAAATCAGCATCAGATTAATATTGAAATTTAAAATAAAACATATTTGCTCATTACCAACCATATGTTAAGTACTGTAATTCCTCTCATTATTAAATAATAAATAAAGCTCTAATATGCTTTTTTCCCCCCTTTTTTTTCTTTAACGATTTTGCCAATAGATTTATCTGGCTGGTGATGGTAAATATGTAATGGAAACAAATATAAATAAATAACAAAAAGGTAATATCTTTTTTTTTTTTTAAATTTAGTGAGGAAAGAGGAGTGATCTCTAAATTTTCATAGCCATTTTAAGTAGAGCTTTTATCATCTATATCATATATTACTAACAAAGACTTGATAAATCTCTATAGTAATGTACTTCTGTAGTATATATTAGTTTGTAATAAAAAATAAGTTATTCAGGGAATATGCAAATACAACACAAAGCAAAGTTTTAATGCGCTCTTATATTGTTTACACAAGATAAGACCACTTAACATTTAACAGTGCTCATGATCCTCTCAAGAGCTTTTAATCAGAGTAGATTCTGGTGTTCCATTTTAAAAGTTCTAATTCCACCATGATTGTGATTATACCTATAACAACCAAACGTATATATGGAGATCAATTTGAGATTCTAGTTCGGATGAAGCTTTTAAAAACAACATTGTTAAATAATATTTAAAATATTAAACACACAAGTGATTGAGTTGATTGACTGTCTCTTAAGACTTTGATGTAAATCAGTGGTGCGCAACCGCCAGGGTCTTAAAATTTATTTTGGGATGTTAAGGCTTAGGCTGTTTGTTTTAATTGCATCAAGGTCCCCATAATTACTTCTCTCACACAACACAACGGTTGCCCGCCTCCTCCCCTCCAATCAATGTGTAGCAAAGCTGAAAAAAGACCTACCTAGTTCTTTTAATTGTTGCACTATTCTGTAGTTTGGATGTGACCTCAGGTAGTACTGACAATTCATGTAAACCGTGTCTAGGGATATAAATTAGATTAATTTTATCTCTGCTACCATAAAATCATACTCTCATCTGAGACTTCAACGATAATAAACTTAAAAAGCAAAAAGACACTTATTAATTGTCATTTCCATTGTCAAATGGATTCTACACCACAAACATTATTAACATAAAGTTTTAAACATGAAGTCCATATTATATTACACTCTATTATTTACAAATGGGACATGATTATCATTTCTTCTCTCATAACAAAGTATGTTATGCTATTTTTGGAAAATTTTACCTCTCCATCCTTCATGTCACAAATTAAAAAATTGTTCGCATAAAAGTGAAATCATTTGTCAGCATACGTCAATCAAAACAGATATTTTAACAACACTTTCAATTTTGGTTGATATGATAAAAAATATATAATTTGTGACATCATAAACGATCTTTATACACCCTCCGTATGTCACAAACTTTCACACTCTATTAAACCCCTCTCCCCCCCTCCGGAGCATGACTTGCTTTTTAGGCACCCCACAGACAACCAGTGCAGATAAAGATTAGCCATTCTTCTCACCTCGTTTCACATTCTGCTGCGTCTCCCTCTCCCTGTTCATCTGTTCAGCAAGTTCAGCCTCATGTTCCAGCCTCTTGTAGACATAATCTCTGGCATAAAATCTGAGCAAAAATAAATTTCATAGATCTATCTTCAATTTATTTCAGGATTAATTTTTTCTTTTCAAATATTGAAAAAGAACAAAAAGTTCATGAGGAAAGAAAAACTATTTCAACACAATAGCAAATATGATACTGTGTGTGCTTATAAAGAGGGGGGGGGGGGGGGGGAACTGCAGCATGGGGGCACAGCGGGGAAAATTTAAGATAAAGAAAAAATTTAATTGGCTCTCTAAAAAAGAGGCATGGAATTAAACCTGGTTCATGTTGGTAGATCAAGTGTTTGTGTGGAGATGGTGGTAGTCATTACTAAGGACTTCAATCTTGCTTACTGCATATTATTTTTAATTAATGAGCCTTAGGACAATCCCTCATCTGCCTATGACATTTAATTCTTCAGAATATATATAAGAACAAGCTAATGCCATTGTGCTATGCTCTGTTCAATAGCACGAAAAGTAAATAAAATTCCGTATATTTAAAGATCATGGTTGTTTACTTTAACAAAGTTCAAATCTGTAACATATTTGTGGCAAAGAGGGAGAGACATTGTCATGAGAATATTAATAAAGTTCAAGGGTGGGCAAAAAATACATACATAGAGGGTTACTATCCAGTAGATGATTTTTATTAATGTTTATTAAAAACATAATAAAATAGGGGGGGGGGTGCAATTTTTTAAAATTTGTCCTCAGGCAGCACAAGATACACATCAGAATTGATATGTGCATTATATAAATTATTTACCCTTCTTCGGTAAACACATTTCAGGGGGAGCAATCAGGGTGTGTACATTTTATGTGGATGACATGTTGATGTTTAAACTTGATTATATCACATTCATGAAAGAAAGGTTTTAGTTTTTCTTTTAAAATAATTAAATATTTTATAACAATATTGGAAATTATAGTTTAAGGTGTTAACACATTCTAGGCACATTTGCATAAGTGTACCCATGCCTCAAAACTCGATGAAGTTTGATAATTTAATATAAAATTGTGAAGTAGGTATTTAACAATTTTCTGTTTTTTTCATTTCAAGCTTGAGGAAATTGGGGTGGAGCTAAGTTTTGAATAGTTTTCAAGTATTTGGGTGACATTGTTTCCGTCATAGTAAAAACATTACAGACATGAAGACATTGGTATACAGATAATTTTAAGAAAAAATTGGGAACTATGTACCGGTATTTTAACAATTTAAAGGTGAGGCAAATTGGACGTCAGGTTGGGTACATTTTAATATCAATAAATCCAAGCCCAATTATGTTACAGATTTGAACTTTGGTAAAGATTTAAATTTGAAATAAATAACCATAGTATATAAATAATAGATTCATATATTATTCTTTAGATATATGAATTCTGTGCTTTATGATTTTTCTGAACATATAGTTCAGAAGCTAGGCAAAAGGTTGTGCAAATTGTTGAAAATTGCAAATATATATATTTTTAAGGACATACATGTTTTAAAAAATTTTCTTTGTAGTTCATGGGCAAGAAAAAGGGTTAGGCAGGTCTCTTTTACATAAAAGATAAGAATTTCTCAAAACACAATGATATTAAAGACATAAATATTTATATATATGTAATTAATTAAAATTAAGGAATTGTCACAGATATGAATATAAATATGTGGGAGATAAGTAATATGGTAGTTATTACTTATATAATATACAACTGGGACTTGAGAGAAAACTTGCCAATGAGGGTGAAGAGTGAGACAAGATAGAAGTTGAATAAAATGGTAGAATAATAATGGAGGTTTGTCTAGAGAAGATTCAACAGAGATCATTGATGTTTTAAATGAAGATTTATAGTGTGTTGACACATTATTAAGTAAAGCAGATTACCCAGAAGCTATTAATTGAAATTCATATAAGTTCCACGCGTTTTCAGATTTACTTTTGTGAATGTCACTGAATGTGGATAATAAAATGTCAGTCATTATTATTTGAACCACTTCGCCTCGAGTATGATTTGAAATGTAATTGTAAAGTGACAGGAATGTTTGGTTTTCTAACATAATTTTCGTATTTTTTTTTTTTTAAGGATACATCAAAACCCAAATTATTTACACACAAAAGAAATGGTATTTTTAGATGTTAATAGTTCGCAATAGCAGGTAGAAAGTAGCCCAATATTCAATCTATTCTGAGTAACACTGGGTCATATCTAAAGATATATTTTTTTAAAACTCCCATACAAGAAAATTTGACAACCAGAGATGTTGTCATTAGTTATACAGATTTACTCATTCCAAAGATATAGTTAAAAAAAACCTCCAAAATATGAAATAATCAGGAAAATTATGATTGATTTGATCAGCCAACTGACTAAATACCGGGTACTGACATCAGTAAAACTTACATAGTATTTATGAGAGATAAGATTATTTAGGATCTATAGGTTCTGATATAGGAGTGAATGGACTCCTTTATGACCATAACATTTTTTAAGTAGGATTGTTAACCCTTGCTAACCGACTAATTGTTAGATCTAAACATCATTATGATTAATGAAAATGTTTATGGGATCTATGACTTTATTTATGTTAATTCTCAGACAACATAATAAATTTGTGATGTGTCCAAGTTATTACCAATAAATGATAAGTGTTCAGAACCTCTGGTTTTATTATTAAGAAAGTTGTGAGTGGCTAAATAAAGCCACTCACAAAAAAAAAAAAAAAAAAAAAATTTAATAATTTTTTTTAAAAATAAAACATTTAATTCATTTTCATTAAAAATTACTTTTAAAATTAACTTCCTCATTCAATAATAACTACTGGAAAAAAAAAAAAAAAAAAAAAAAAAAAAAAAAAAAAAAAATTTAATAATTTTTTTTACAAATAAAGCATTTAATTCATTTTCATTAAAGATTACTTTTAAAATTAGCTTCCTCATTCAGTAATAACTACTGGGAAAAAAAAAAATTATTATGACACACCATTTAAATATAACTCAGGCTGATATCACACAGGGCTATCACTAGATGATAGCATCCAGAACTTAAGAGTGAAAATAAGCTACTTGACTTGTACTCCACACCATGGTTATGAAAATATCTAAATTATTGTTTTCATTGGCTTGATTGGAAATTTCACAAATAAAAAATACTTTTTAAATCAAACAAAAAATTGTAAAAAATTGCTAAACTTTTTTTTTTTACTTGTAAGAGATGATAAAACAAAAGCTTCCTTTCCGAATGTAATTAGTAAAAAGGCATTTTATTACTTATCTTTAAGTATGATGTATAAATAATGGGATTAATGTAGACAATGTTTCTTACCGTCTTTTCCTACACAAGCAGTAGTAGATGAGAACAACAAACAGAGCAAGTATAGCTAGGCCACCAAGAACTGGAACCTGAAAGAATGTTCCAATTGATTTGCTCAAAAATGTCATTGTACTGTTATTAGTATAGATTCAAGTAGCCATCAATGCCATCAAACTTTCTATCAAAGTGATCATTGAACCATTTTAATACCTAAACATCATAAATCATTTTGTTTATGTTTGATTTTAAAAAATTTTCAAAGAATAGCTAAAACAAATGCCCTATATTAAAAATTTAAAACCAGAATCCTGGTCTGCGCCAGGATTTACATAAGACATAGGATTTTTTTAATAGGAATATTATGAATGTAAAAAAAATAAATAATGTCCTGAATCAATAAGTTATAGCCAGGCTACCTAGGGCCTATTCAAATTAGTTATTAGTATTTACTATTACTTATTTATGATTAATATTTACACTATTTATTGAAATTGAAGTTTATTGAATTAACAAGAGTCACTGTCACTTGTCAATACTCAAGAGAGCAACTTTATTAAAATTCCAAACATTAATATTAACACGTTTCTCAAGACTGAGTATCATAATATAATATAATAATATTCATAATAATAAATATTTAGAGCCATTCTATTAATTTATTAATAATTAAAATTATAAATAATAAATAGAAAATGACTTCTTGACTATCCACAATATTTTAATTAATTATTGTCCCTATATAAGATCGCCCTAGTTATATACCTTAACATGAAATAATCAAATTTCAAAATCAAACAGACACTAAATAACTTTGGACTTTAGATAACGTAAATTTAAAACAAAGTATCCAAATTAAATTACAATTCTTTGAAGAACTAAAAGTAAAAAGTACTAAGTCGTCTTAGTAACTTAGACTTAGTACTTAGTGTCTTAGAAGAAGTTTACAGTAATTTACACTTACATAAATGTGATCTTCGATCCATGTTCCAGCGTCGGTCATATCTGTAAGTCTCGAAAATGATCCTTATTTATCGTGATAATATAAGTCTCCGCGACTTTCACCTTTGATAAATAAACCTGAAATGAACTAGTAACTAGATCAATACACTTTAGAAGGAACAACACTCATACTTCATCTTAACTATTTTTCATTTTTAGCCTGCTGATAGTCATGTGACGGAATCAGCTGCTGACCTACATTACGCAGCGTGTGAATTCAGCACTGCAATAAAACTATCAGTATAACGTCATGACTGTATATGTTTGAGTCAAGAAACAATTGAATAGGCAAATGTAATTATATTTATTATTGAAAACAATTAATTTTATTTAAATTATTCTCTCATAACATTACATTAGGTGATTATTTTTCAAATTATAATTAGGTCAGTGGCGTCGAAAGGATTAGGTTCAAGATTTTTGCCGCCCCTTTCCAAGAAAAAAGTCTGCAGTTGGTAGAAAATGATACCCCTCCAAGTAAAGAAATAGTGCCACTATACCCCCCCCCCCATGCTACTATATTAATTAGGATAAACTACATGTAGATCAGTGATTCTCAACCTTCCTAGTGCCGCGACCCTTTAATACAGTTTCTCCTGTCGTGGCGATCCCCAGCCACACAATTAATTTTCGTTGCTACTTCATACCTGTAAAGATATGTTTTCAGATGGTCTTAGACGACCCCTGGAAAAGGGTCCGCGACCCACAGGTTGAGAACCGCTGATGTAGACCGTAATAGACGGTCATTGAAGATGTTACCTGTGCCTGCGCTAGGAGAGGTTTGCTGCGCTAAATATTAATTATTAATAGACCTGTTTTTGTCAAAGCTTGCTTGTTATTGTTAAATTTTAAAAAAAATATTGCAAAAGCCCCCCCCCCTTCCCAAACACTTTATACCCATAAACGCAGCCTACCGTTAAGGGTCGTGCAAACGACGGAGTGAGGAGGCGTAAGCACCAAACGCCAAAAAAACGTATGGTAACAATAATTAATGTACACATATATATACACGTTTTTTTAAGTGGAGTGGGGGAGGAGGTTGGGCTCCAAAACTGAAGAGTAAATAATAATTTTAAAAATTAACGAGCTATACTCCGCGTAACAAGGGCAAGGGTGCTGCTGTTTAAATTCTCCAGGAAAAATACACTGCTTTCCGAAAAAAGTTTACACAAAAAATAAATAGGCTACAATTTAAACTGCATTTTTTTCCTGAAAATAATCGGGACACGATTAATTTTGGGAATATCACGAAAACTCTAAACATATAGTTTGAATTTCATTTAAATTAAAGATCAATTTAAAAGTTGTAGTTTTTTTTTTTCTAAAGCAATATACTTTGGTCCATTTAATCCTAAAAGTTACACTTGGTATACTATAGGCCTATGCGCATAATAATTTATCTTAGCTAGATATTGTCAATTTTACTAGTAGGCCTATACAGAATTATTTGATGCAACGGTTTGGAATGTTGGACACTACAGTAACTATTGTGCATCACCCGGATAGTTACTTGAGTTTGCCGCCCCTCATGGACTGACTCCTAAATTACGTCATTAGACCACTAGATCATCCGTTTGTGTGTGCGTGTGGGAAGGTTGGGGGGGGGTGACTGCTGTCCCCCTGAGAGAGAGAGAGAGAGAGAGAGCGAGGAGAGAGAGAGAGAGAGAGCGAGGAGAGAGAGATGGATAGAGAGAGTGATGGATAGAGAGAGATGGACAGAGAGAGAGAGAGAGAGAGAGAGAGATGTAGAGAGAGAGAGAGTGAGAGAGAGAGAGAGAGAGAGAGAGGTGCATAAAATATAGAGAGAGAGAGAGAGAGCGAGGGGAGAGAGAGAGAGAGCGAGGAGAGAGAGATGGATAGAGAGAGTGAGGGATAGAGAGAGATGGACAGAGAGAGAGAGAGAGAGAGAGAGAGATGTATAGAGAGAGAGAATGAGAGAGAGAGAGAGAGAGAGAGAGATGCTTAAAATTTATTTCAGATAGTAGACACAGTTATTCGAAGTGGCGTTGGAAAGGGGCGGTCTGACCCCATCTCAAAACACTTTAGAAGAAGCGACCGCAAGGGTCCAGAGGATTGTTACTATCCCTGCCACTGTGTCGTGAACAAAAACAAACAAACCGGGTGAATTTGGAAAACAACTGATCCTTACTTATGTAACCTTGACACCACGTGGATTGAATTTCATGTTCTCACTTAATTAAACCCTTTTCTCCGCCCTCCTCGTTATGGTCAATCGCAGGTGCCTTCATATTTCTCTCTTCCACCCCATTTTGCGTATAATTTAGTCGGCTGCATTTTCGGCCAACTGCAGTTGATGCAGGGACATCATATATTATTTAAGAGGACCAAAGTTGTTAAGTAAAAAACACCGATTGACTTTTGGGGACAGAGAAGTGAAATGTGACTGTGGGCCTCCAAAAGTTACGCGACGGCGTGACATCTGCATTACGGGGAAGCCGAATTTCTATTGTAGAATTCAGTGTTTTTTTTCAGGCATCTCTCGGGGGGGGGGGGGGGGGGGTGTCGGGGGGGGGCCCCCCCCCCCCCCAATGTCAAGTGTCCCCGTGGGAAAAGTGAACAGTTAAACGAAAATATATTTTATATAAAACACCACTTAACTGTAATTTTTATAAACAAATTGAAAATAAAAAAATAACTGGTGCCTTTAACCGATAACAATTATTTGAAACAGTGAAATATCGCTATGCTCGATATGTTTGATGTCCCGTCTATTTAATGCTAATCTTTTAGAGCAGTGGTTCTCAACCTTCCTAATACCGTGACCCTTGAGCCTTGAATAAAGTTCTTCATGTTGTGGTGACCCACAACAATAATATTATTTTCGTTGCTACTTCATAAATATGTTTTCCGATAGTCTTAGTAAACTCTAGGCAACCGCTGAGTAAGGGTCGCGACCCACAGGTTGAGAACGGCTGTGTTATAAATATCGTACTGTTTGGAAAATTGGTGCCCGATTATAAACTGAAGCTTACAACTTGTTGTTCGCATATTTCGGTATTTTTATTTATTATTTTTTTTTTTGCATCTTCACATGCTTAAAGACTTTAAAGATTATTAAACTATCTTTTCATCAATATATAGGTTTATAATTTTAATATAGCTCTTGCCAGTGGCATATCTAGGGTTGATGTCACCCAGTGCGGTAAACTCATGGTGTCACACCCCCCTCCCCCCCCCCCGACTTATACGATGGATGATTTTCTTCTTGTTAAAATAAGTCCACAGCATAATAATGACGAGAACAATAAAAATTAATTGAAGGTCAGGAGGTAAAAGTATTTTTAAGACCTGTAACATGTACTTGGAATGTTCCATTTTGGTCAATGGACATTTTTTATCTCTCAGAATTTAGATAAACATAGCTTCCTGTCACTTACGAAAGTTACCCAACACTTTAATCGGCGCTTTGTCATAGTATCAACGGTGTTTTTCTGACCTAATAATAAGGCAACCTCATAGCTGACGCATCAACCATAAACTTTTAATAAAGCACACGTTTGGATTTTTTAATTATGGGGAAAATGCACGTGTGATTGATTATCCCTTACATGAAATTCGGTTAGACTGAGCAGTGCGTGCTCTTTAAATATGCAATTTTTCAATTTGGTGTCAAACCCCCCCCCCCCCCATGAGATGGTGTCACCCGGTGTGGTCCGCATCCCCACGCCACTGGTTCTTGCTAAGTATCAAACATGTGCCATCTGTTTCAAATTATATTTTATCATAAAAGCATAAAAGCATGACTTTTAACGTAGGGATTTAAAGTTACTTATAAAGTGTATGATGGCATAGCCTAATGTTTTTAAAAAAAAATGTAGTTATTAGAATAATTTGTAATGTACTGGCTTTGATGTATGTTCAGCTAGGTTAAATAAAACGTAAAAATTAAGAATTTAACTTAGGCATACGAATGGTGCAAGTTTAATATTAAAGCGAAAGCTTTTGGGTTTTCTTTAGATGCACGAATGTGTAACACATTTTTCCTGAATAAAAGAGTTTTAAAAAAGAAACTTAGCTTATGTGTATTCAACACCGAACTGCTTTTCTTTTTATTATCAGAATAATAAACAATCTTCCCCACCTATCTGGACGCATTTATAAATTTATCTTTTTAGATAAAAATACAGCAAAAAGCTACTTTTTAAAACAAAAAAATGTTTTAAAATAACATTTCAATTAGCATGCCAATTCCATTTTATGTACTCATTTAAGAAAAATATAATTCTTTCTAAATCGTCAATTTGGCACATCTACGAATTTGTTAAAAAAAATTGTTCAAGCATACCGAAGAGGGAATTTAAAATTCAACTGAAGAAAGCTTTAGCTGTTTGGAATTAAAAATAAACATTTTAATCAACTAAATATTGGTAAATGAATGTCTGCTTTATTTTTGTACGATATCTCACGCATAAATTGACATTTTTGTAAACAGTTCATATCTTATGCATTTCTTATATGACTTAGAAAATAACATGTTTTGAAAATCCTTAAAATGTAAAGATCTGCCTACAAAAACATTATTTTTTATTTTTGACTCTGGTTAAAAGTTAATATGTATTTATTTTAAATATATTTTCCCATTGCGTGTAACAATTAAAATAATGTTGGCAGTGCTTTTTCGTGATGGAAATATTTGTTGGAAGTTAAAAAATATCATTTAGTACTTAAGTAGTTTACCCCAAAATTAGTTTTAATAAAAGATAAAACCACAGTGTTATTAAGTAATCTAAAATAAATAAATATATTTGTAGGCCTATACTATACTAGCCTATAGCATAAGTAGGTCAAGCAGAGCCGTCACTTGACTTTCCGAGGCCCCCTGCCAATTTTCGGTGTTGTCCTTCCACCACCTTAAATTCAAATTTGATAATTTAAAAAGTGTACACAGCACAACTTGAAGCCCTTAAAAATTGGAGGCAGCCCACACAATGGCTCAAAGACGAAGGGAAACCTACATTTTTAACTAGCATCACTCCCGTTGCTCTCCGATTAAGTGTAGAATGATACAAAACTAAATTTATATACGTGCTCAAATCCACACTTGCATTTTAAATTTATCAAAACTTTTCTGGGGACTAGAAAGATTTAAGAGGTGACAATAAGCCAGGGCAAAAAGTATACCCCACCCAGGGTGTATCAAATAGAATGAGTTTCAGATTACTGATTA